ATTGAAACTAAGAATATAAACTAAGGCATGGCTAAGAAAAGCGTAGCTAATACGAAAAATTGAAGTCTGGGAACACAACATCCCGGTAGACCTCTTATAATCGTCACGCACGATCCGGAACGATTAATGCAAGGAAGTTGGACACTTTATTAAACATGAGGCCTTGCGATGGAATGCCGCCAATGATTATTTTTTGAATAAAAATTAAATTGAGCCCAATTCTACGATAACGGTTACATAAAAACTTTAATATTAAAACAAGAACCGAGACAAAACATAGCTCGCTGTAATTGGGAAATATAAAGTCTATTTTTTAGGTCGAAAATAAAGTTTCAAGTCTATAAAGCTAACGAAAGCTATGCCGAAAAGTAACACACAAAATTCGAATTTCTGTTTTAAATTATTTTTGCAAATGTTCTCTCAGCGACATTTAATCTGCCTCAACTTGTTTGTAGCTTCTCTTTTTGCAGCCTTTTAACACGTTGCGCCTCATCTTCTATTCCATTTTACCATTTACGAGGCGGCAGCTCTTAAGTTTAAAGCTCATCAAGGGGCTTTGGTATTAAATTTCGTTGTTCGCAAAATAGTTTCGCATTTTTAATATTTATTTGTTGGCTGGCTCGAGGTCCGTGTTTGTTAAAACAAACAATGAAAAACAATTTTATTCAATTCTCTTCCGATATATTTCGGTTGCACATCGGCAAACCGTCTTCAGGGCACTAACACCAAGATACAAAAAACAATTAACAATTATAATACAATAAATTAAACATTATTTCGAACATTTTACATACATTATTTTACACGTCTGCGCTTTTTGACGTGGAGATTGTTACTGAGGTTGTTTGACTGTTTAAGAGGTGTCTGTACAAGTGAGCGCAATTTTCTGTGTCTGTCTTGTAGTTTAGTCGTTTGTAGGTTGGTGTGTTAATTATGTGTAGCATTTCCAATGTGTGTCGCTTGTTATAGTGTTGTTCTTGTTGTAAGATTGTTGTTTCATCAAAATTTGGTGTGTGGTTGCTTCTTATACAATGGGTCATAAGTGCTGTTTTCTGTATATTATTTTGATGTCTTAGTTTGAAGTCCGATTTATGTTGACTAATCCTTGTTTTTAGCTTCGATTTTGTTGTACCTATGTAGACACTATTGCACTTGTTGTTGTTATCCCCGCCACATGGTATTTGGTAAACGACGTTGCTTTTTTCGATCATCGGGATTTTCGACTTTATCTTGTTGAAGAATTTTTGTAATGTATTCGTCGGTTTGTGTGCTACTTTTATATCTTGTTTGTTATAACAGTCTGAGTTTGTGAGGCGTTCTGATAGTCGTGGTACATATATTAGTGATTTGTATATTTTAGCAGGTTCTGTTGGCTTTTTTCTTTCGATTTGTCGTCTTTTTAATAATGTTTTGATTATATTTGGGGGGAAGTCATTTTTGGTCAAAAGTTCTTTGATTTCATGTTCAATTTCTTTGTGGTATATTGTGTCCGATATTTTCATCATTCTATTCATACAGCCTAGTGCTGTATTGATTATCATACTCTTTGGGTGGTTTGAATTGAAGTTGAGTATTCGTCCGGAGGCTATGGGTTTCCTATACCACTTTATTTTGAGTGTGTTGTCCATTCTGCTTACAATAGAGTCTAAAAATGGTAATTTCCCGTCCTTTTCTAATTCCATTGTAAATTTTATCTGTTTGTGGAAGGAATTCAATTCTTTTAGAATATTTTCCACGTCTATTTTGTTCGTTATGGCAAAAAGGTCATCTACATATTTGGTCAAGAGTCTTGGTTTTATTTTTAATTTATCTGTAATCTTGTCCAACAGTTCCTCCATTAATATATCTGCGATTACTGGGGAAGCCGGTGATCCCATTGGCATTCCCTTAAGTTGTGTGTATCTTTTGTCTTCGTATTTGAAATATCTGTTTTCCTGTATGCAAAATCTAACTATGTCCATAAATAGTTGTTTCGGTATATTCGTGTGCTCTTCTAATTTGGTCCATTTTTGTCTTATTGTGTCAAGTGCTAATTCTATTGGTATGCTGGGAAATAAGGATACTACGTCAAAAGATACTAATGTTTCCTCTTCTCTAATCTGGGAGTTGTTGACTCTGTCTTTAAAATCTACCGCGTTCTTGATGTTGTACCTAGAGTCCATTGTCAGATTTTTTAATATTTGTATTATATATTTGCACAGCCCGTAAGATGGAGATCCTATGGAAGAACATATTGGTCTCAGTGGAGTTCCTTCCTTGTGTATTTTTGGTAGTCCATATATCCTCGGAGGTACCGCTGTTGTTGTAGTCATCTTATTTCTTTCGTCCTTTGAAATAAGACCCATCTTGAATAATTGTGCTACGAAGGTGTTATTCTTTGTCTGTAGTCTTGATGTCGGATCCAGTCTCAATGTTCTATACGCGCATAAGTCGTCTAAAATATTTGTCATTTTATTTTTATATTCATCCTCATCCATTGCTACGGTTTTGTTGCCCTTATCCGACGATAGAATTTTAATATTTATATTTTCTTTCAGTAATTTTCGTGTCTGTTCCACTGTGTCCAGTATTGCTCGATCCCTACTGTTTTGGTTGTTCTTGGTTTTATGCTCTTTGACTAACAAAGAGAATTTTGTGCGCGCCGACTCTTGTGTTTCCTTTTCTTTTATTGTTTGCACTAGCTCCTCACCGTCTGCGATGTATTTCAAGAGAGGAAAATCTCTCTTGCTGATTGGGAGAGCGAACTTCGGCCCTTTTGCGAGTAACGCTACGACGTTTGGCGGGAATTCTATTTTTGTTTTGTTTACAAACCACTCTCTTTGCGTGTTGTTATCCGCTAAGGCTAGGTTCCGTTGATCTCGTAACTTATCGTGTTTCGTTTCTTGTCTTTTCTTGAGTGTTGTTGTTATTTTGTTTTCTATATTTCTCTCGCTCTCAAAAAACGCTTTTGCGTCATCTGTGGTCATCAGTTGTTCTATGTTTGTTTTTGCTTTTTCCATATGTTTTGTTTGTTCTTGTAATAGGTTGTGTTTGTGTTTTATAAGTAAGTTTAATATTTTGGTATGGTAAAAATGTGTGTGTCTAGTCAATGTTCTTGTTATGTCAGGGTGGGTTTTATTGTCAGTGGTCAGTATGGTCAAATGCTGTGTCAAGTTTTTGATGAAGTTAGGTATTAAATTTGATTTTCTACATTTTAACAAAAATTTTAAACTAGATTTAAGTTTAGTTAATTTTACCAGTGTTAGTTGGAATTTATTAATTGTTCTTTTCGAATCCTTGTATTTAGTTTTTATTTTTGCGTAGCTCATGTTGGTTGCTGTGCATACGGCGTGCCTTCCGTTGATATTTATTGATGGCTCTGGCGACCTTTCCATATTTCAATATTTATTTGTTGGCTGGCTCGAGGTCCGTGTTTGTTAAAACAAACAATGAAAAACAATTTTATTCAATTCTCTTCCGATATATTTCGGTTGCACATCGGCAAACCGTCTTCAGGGCACTAACACCAAGATACAAAAAACAATTAACAATTATAATACAATAAATTAAACATTATTTCGAACATTTTACATACATTATTTTACACGTCTGCGCTTTTTGACGTGGAGATTGTTACTGAGGTTGTTTGACTGTTTAAGAGGTGTCTGTACAAGTGAGCGCAATTTTCTGTGTCTGTCTTGTAGTTTAGTCGTTTGTAGGTTGGTGTGTTAATTATGTGTAGCATTTCCAATGTGTGTCGCTTGTTATAGTGTTGTTCTTGTTGTAAGATTGTTGTTTCATCAAAATTTGGTGTGTGGTTGCTTCTTATACAATGGGTCATAAGTGCTGTTTTCTGTATATTATTTTGATGTCTTAGTTTGAAGTCCGATTTATGTTGACTAATCCTTGTTTTTAGCTTCGATTTTGTTGTACCTATGTAGACACTATTGCACTTGTTGTTGTTATCCCCGCCACATGGTATTTGGTAAACGACGTTGCTTTTTTCGATCATCGGGATTTTCGACTTTATCTTGTTGAAGAATTTTTGTAATGTATTCGTCGGTTTGTGTGCTACTTTTATATCTTGTTTGTTATAACAGTCTGAGTTTGTGAGGCGTTCTGATAGTCGTGGTACATATATTAGTGATTTGTATATTTTAGCAGGTTCTGTTGGCTTTTTTCTTTCGATTTGTCGTCTTTTTAATAATGTTTTGATTATATTTTTATAACTCAATTAAGGCGCCAGCTCAAAGCCAATTAAAATGAGCAGACAGCCAGCTGATTAACCTTGTTAGTTGCATACACACAGATGTACAGTACATATAGAGGCGTCTGTTTGTCAGCCATAGGCAGCGCCTGTAAGTATGCAATGGCCAGGCTTTAAACTGTAGAGCAAGTGACCGTCGCCAGGTCACGTTGTCGTTGTCGTTGTCGTTGTCGTCCTCGGCGTCGTAGTTGTGCGATTGCGAGTGCGAGTGCAGAAATGACGTCATTCGCACAATGCCACGCCCACACTATTCGCTATCGCCCAGCAAATGTTGGCACGGTAATTGTGTGCACTGCAGCACGCTTCGGTTGGCAATATTGTTATGACCAAAAACCAGGTCACAAAGGACTTTTCAACTACAACCCGCCCACACCCGCAAAACCCTAACCACGCTGCCAACCACCTCTTTTCTTCTGACTGTTGTTATTCGTTTTTCTTGGCCTCAGCTTTCAGCGCGAACGCGCGCGCATATTTTATTTGATTTATTTCCAAAAAAAAAAAAAAGGAAGACGCATAATTTCAGTGAATTTACCTACTTTAAGAATTCGCGCTTCAGAATCCTTTTGAATTCTTTTTTATTCCCTTTTCTTTTTTTTTGTTCTTTTTGGGCAGCTAAAGCCGCAACTGCAACAGCTGCCAGCTGAAGATTTCTCAGCTCTTTCGCTATTTTGCATTTAATATTTATGCCGCATATCTCTGGCTCTCGCTCACTTTACTAACCAGCCCCCTTCTTTTGCCTTTGTGTACTTTGCAGGCATGCATCAAACTCGAAGCGCTCAACTGCTCAACTCGTTGCGACTTGGCGACTTGGCTCAATCCCTGACCAGGCCAGGCCCGGCCATGGGCTGTTGAATAATTGATGCAGTTTTGGTAAGTGCATTTTGAAAGAGTTTCTGTTCTTTAGGTCTTTAGTTCTTTAGTTTCGCAGTTGTAGCCTCAAATCGCTGGGCATTTCATTTAAATGCATGCCAGGATCTCTCTCCCGCTGAGCCAGAGCCTGACAAATGAAGTGTTCGACTCTGGGGCGTGGCAGAATCCTCATGCATAAACCAATACGCGCTGCTTGGCTGGCGGCAGCATTTACGCGCCGGATGCGGAAATTGTACAACAACAATGGACAGCAAAATAGCATCGAGGCCAACGAAAAAATGGCGTTAACAGCACCTTCACAAAGCCACTGACACACACACACACACATTCGCACAAACAAGCATACACGCATACATACAAATGGGAGACAAGAACGCGCATTGCCACACATATTGTCCACTATTTTCACACATTTGTATGGCCATTTCAGAGAAGGACGCGCGGTTGGGGGCTGTAAAGCGAAGATTGGTGTCCATTATTTTGGGTCAACCTACGGCCATCTCTTTCTCCAGCGCCTCGTGGCTATTGCTATTTCGTTTCGCACTGTTTGTCGTTGGCATCATCGGCTTAGCCATTAGGTTTGCAACCCAAAATGTTCATGATTATGCAAATGGTTATGCGAGTATATTGAAAATTGAACTCTATATCTTGCTACACAGAACACAAGCAATTCGGACAGGAGTCCTTTGAAGTAGGCTGCAAATCAGCCCAGACTTTGCATTTTTTGCTAACCATAAACCGAACTCTTCAACAGATTAGTTGGATAGTATTTTTTTCAAAAACTTCCTTTTTTTTTTTATTTAACTAAGCATAATATGTAAATATTTAGTGTCCATTAAGAACTGAAGGAAATTTGACAAACCAAGACTCGAACTTACGTCTGGGTTCACAGAGCCTTGGCTTTGGATAAATTCATAAAATTGTTACGTATACGCAATGTGTTTCAATGTGCATATTGTTCAAGGATCCATTCTCTTCTTCTTCTTTGTCCTTCATTAAGTTTGTTAGTGTATTAGAAGTTCGTGAAGTAAACTTTAGCTGTACGTTGTTTATGTATGCATTTGCTAGCTTTATCTTAATGCTGTCTAGATACAAAATTTTCGTCGCTGTTGCCGTTCCGCATTGGTCAGGGCTCTGAGCTCTGTTGTTGTACAAGCTTATTGCTGTTGTTGTCGTAGTTGCTTATCCTTATCCACAACATTGTCGTCTTTCGTTGTTGCTGTTGCTGTTGTTGTTGTTATTGTTGTTGTGGTTGTTGTTGTTGTGGTTGTCATCGTCTTTGCCTTTCGCCTTTGCCATTGCCATTGCGCTGCCTTTCCGCTCGTCGTTTGTTTTGTCATTCAATTCAATGAGGCTAATGTCCGTTGAGTTTTGCACCGCACCTACAGCTGGAGATATAGCCAGTTCAGCTCGTTGTTGTTGCTCTTCGTGTTGTGGTTGTTGTTGTTATTGCCCTGTCTGGTCTGCTCCGGTCTGGCTGTGCTCTTGTGCGTCCATTGCTTCCCATGTTGCTGTTGAAGTGCCATTAAGTTTAGTTGTCACTTAGCCTCTTTGCTTTTATATGCCCGCTGCCGTCTGCTGTCTGTTGTCCGTTGTCAGGCTGCGCGGCGCGTTGTTGTTATCCTTTTGGCTTGAACGTCTTAAGCGACTAATACCATGCCCATAAAAATGTCCAACTAATGCTTTAAAGTGTGCCAGCCAATGACAAGCCCCAAGTCAAGTCAATGCGACTTCAGCCAAGGCAAGACAAGACCAGACCAGACGAGACGAGACGAGATGAGATGAGTCCAGTTTAGCTCAGGCTAAGGCTGAGTCTAAGTCTGAGTCCAAGTAGCTGCCTATTTCTGTTATCGCAACGTTTTGGTTTTTTATCGATCGTTTTGTGTGTCGTTGTTGTTGTTTGTCTTTGGCCTCTTTGATTTTCAGCTTTAAGCGTCGCAAATTTAACTCGTTTTTCTTTATTTGGATTGTTTTTTTCGCTTTTCGGCCAGTTTGAAATTGCGTGTTAATTTTCACACTAATACACAGCTACAGATACGGTCGTATATTCTGTTTGTGTTTTGCGGTTTTTATTTAAGCCTGCCCCCGCAAACTCCAGCTAGTTGTGTGAATCTCTTTTTGTCATGTTCGGTACGGCACTTGTTTAAATATTTGCATTTTTATTGTGGAGCAGAACACGTTGCGCCTTTTGGTTCATTAGCAGACACTCGCACTGCTGGGCCTGGTTAACCGAAATCCGATGGGTTCATAGTATATAGAACAAGCTGAATATATGGTAGCTGTGCTAATTGTGCCAAAGTTTCGTCCAAATGAAGTACATGCCATTCAATTAACTTTGCCAGAGCTGCCGGAAAATGAAACTTGCAGCCAAAATGCAAAAATGTTTGTAAACTTTTCGATCGACTTGCCGTTCTGTTCTGTTCTGTTTTTCCCGATGAACTTCCATTATGCAGCATATATTTCGGCAATCATGTTAACAAGCCGCGCCAATTTGTGTTTTGTTGCCTTCACCAAACCAGTAAAGAGAAGAAAAGAAGGGGCACAAAAAAAAAAAAAATGCAAATAAAAATAACATAAAAATGTTTACTTAAAAAAACATGTCAAAAATTTGCAAGCAGCAACTGAAACACTTTACACTTTAATGGACAGCTCGAAGGGGTGGCGCTGGCCCGGAAAATGCATTAAAAATGCAGATACAGCCGCTGGCACGAGGCAGCTCGCCACAGTCATGTGCAAATTTCAACTTGTCAATTTATGATTATGGCACCCCATGAACCGAAGCAAAATGTAAATTATACGCCACCGACGAAATGAAACTCAAGCGAATAACAAGTGAAATTGCTGCTAAGCCTGTGTGTCCGGGTGTGTGTGTGTGTCTGTCTGTGTGTGTGTGTGTGTGTGTGCTTCAGTGTGCGCGCTGCCAATTTTAAATTTAGTTTTTATTGTAGTTGCTTGTGGTAGTTGGCAGAATGACTTCTTACCAGCTTTTCCTACCTGTCTGCCAGCCTGTCTGCTCCTTAACCCCGCCAGGTCTTGCTTCCCGACTAGCTTGTTACATTTAACGCTTCTTAACGCCGAATTGACTACACACACACACCCACTCCGTTGTTTGGCTGTTATGTAAATGAGAATGAGTCGCATGCCGCTCGTCGCTCCTTCATAATGTTGCTCAATCGACGGCCGCTGCGGCGCAGGTGCATTGAAATAGTTACTTAGTACGTTACGTATACGACATGCTGTACACACAGAAATCACATGTACTTTGGCTGGCATGCAATTCAATGTCAGAACAGAGCTGACAAGTTTGGTTAGAAAACTGTCAATTGGTTGCAAGTTTAGTCGTTTCTTCCTTACACAATGTAGCATAGAGCAAATGAATTCCCTTACTGGCCACCCACAACAATTTGTATTTTATTTGATGTCAATTTTAATTAAAAACATATTACAGCTTTGTCTTGCCAGAGTTGGGTGTAGGACAAAGCAAACCCTAATTTTAGTTAATAATATTGTAATAGTATTAAATGTCAAATATATTTTGGCTCATCATCGAGAATTTACTGTAGCAACAGTCTTGTTGTTTAGCCTGTCCTCTTCTCTAAAGAGCTATATACACAAAATTAAATTTAAAAAAATGGTTCAATCTAATAATATCTGCTCGATGACTACTTACGAGTGTGCTTGAAAATCGAAAATTATGTATTGAAAATTCGTTTAGAATGAGTCTCATTATTTTCATAAGGCCCCTTAAAACAGTTTGGTTCGATTTTACGCCCACAGTTAACAATGTTTCGGCTTTCAATTTTATAGCATAGCTATCTTAAATTCCATTTCAGAGTACACTCACAATCTGCTAAACCTCCAAAACAATGAAAATCGAGTTGCTAGTTGTTATGGCTGTGCTGTTGGGCGGCGGAAATGTAAATGAATCTGATTGTGAGCTTCTACGGGCAAAGCACACACATATACATACTCACCTGTGTGTGGTTGTGTGTGAGGCATAAAATTTGATTGTGATTGAAAAGTGTAGCCTACTTTCGGGCGGGCGCATATAAAATGCATGTAATCAAGCGAAATGGCAATGTACTGCAATCGAGGGGCAACGGGCCGAACCGGGCCGGGCCGGGCCGGGCCAATAGGGCCACAATGCATTTGCACGTTACCACCTGAGGCCCTAGCTGATTGCCACGCCCCTACGCCCCCATGCCACTGGCCCCAGCGCAATAATTGAAATTTGATTTGATTAGTTTGGATTTCAACTTTATGCGGGTTCCAGTTGCATTTTACTGCTATCAGCGTGTGTGTTTCGGTTTGTGTGTGTGTGTGTGTGTGTGTGTGTGTGTGTTTTGCAGAATTAAAATGATATATTAATTTCTGTTTTGCGTGCCTGATTACAACGCCTTCACCAAATCCCTTTATAATTGAGTCGCTCGTGAAGTGTGCAGAATTTCTCTGACCATATTGTTTTTCTTAACAGTTAATGAAAATCGCAAGGACGCCGATATAATTGAACTATTTGGTTTTCATAATTGAAATTATACGCAGACAATTCAATAATAATTACCTCGAGACAAAGTCCGGCCGGCCAAAGGGAGGGATGATGGGGCACGAAAGTGTGTCCAGCGCCTTCTGTGGCAGCGCTCAGTGGCATGTACAAAATTTAATTAAGTAACTTATTGTTTTTATTTGCATTCCCCGTTGTCGCTGCTCCGCTGCTGGTCTTTGGCCAGGGGCAAGATATTCCACTGCATATTTATGTCGCCTTTGTTTCGTGTGACACAATAATTAAATAAATATTTGCACACAACAAAAGTAAATATACAAGAAATTCACGAAAAATAAAAAATAAAAATAGCATAAAAGAAAACATTTATGATATTGTCAGTACTGCAAAAAAATGCGAAAACTCTACCCTTAATGGGACCAGTGCGGGAGTGGAAATGTGAATTGATGATGGTCACCATATTGATAAACAGTAAATGGAAGATTGGTAAATGATGAAA